TTCCCATTTTTCCCCAGGGGCCAATAACACAGCAGAGAATCCCCTAGTGCTTGGCAATGAGGAAAATGGGGCTTCCCAGTCAATTTCAAAGTCGTCTAATCAGTTTCAAGAGTTTTCCCCCCACACACCATTTGTGTTCCCTTTCCTTCAAGGAACTAACCCTAAAAGGTACCCACAACACTGAACCAGGGGGATTTAAATGGAAGGCCCTTCCTTGACGCTATTGTGCAGCTGCAATAGAGCGATGGTGTAAATTTTTTTAAAAAAAATTGGGCACCACCCCCGCACTTATTGACATTCCCACCTCGATTTTTAAAAGTGCATGGTTTGGGGTTTTTTTTTTTTTTTTTTTTGCTCAAAAAAAAATAACCTGGGGGGAAAGAAACTGGGGGGAAAGAATGGTGCATAGCGCACCCACAGGATCCGAAGTCAAGCTTAAGGACTCGACTGCTCGAAAAATCTGCAGCAAGATGTTTATGCGTAATAGGCCTTTGTCCAGCATATCTCCCTGCAGATTTAAACTGCAGGTTTTTATGCCAGACATACACTGGTGTAATACTGAATACACCACTAGAGGGAGAAAAACACATGTGTAACAGAAACGCACACACATACACTGGAATAAACAGAAACTTACAAGCGAGGAAGATGAGAATGCGGAAAAATCCAAGGAGATGCAGCCAGCCTTTGTAAAAATCCTAGGTGTACCCCATCTTATTAACCACCTTAATTTTGGTGTAGTGGTTAGGATTGTGGACTCTAATCTGGGAGAACCTGGTTTGATTCCCCCGCTCCTCTACTTGAAGCTGCTGGTGTGACCTTGGGTCAGTCACATCAGTCACAAGTTCGTTCAGAGCTGTTCTCTCACCAGCAGTCCTTGAAAGAGCTCTCTCAGCCCCACCTATCGCACAGGGTGTCTGTTGTGGTGAGGGGAAGCGGAAGGGATTGTAAACCACTCTGAGACTCCTTTGGGTAGTGAAGGGTGGGGTATAAATCCAATCTCTTCTTTCCTTTAAAACTCAGGGCAGAAAGGATTTGAGCTTAAATGCCAAACTGCAGGCAGGGACCTGTCAGTTGCAAATGAGACACTTAGTGCCTCCTTTCCCTTCCCCTCCCCACAACACACACCCTGTGAGGTAAAAGAAGAAGAAAAAGAGATTGGATTTATACCCCGCCCTTCGTGAAGGTGACCCCAAGCACTCTCATATAAAAGTCTGGATGGTAAAACAAGAATGTTCAGCTTCTGGATGAGGATTCCCACTTGAAGAAGAAGAGATTGGATTTATACCCCCGCCCTTCACTACCCAAAGGAGTCTCAGAGCAGCTTACAAACTCCTTTCCCTTCCCCTCCCCACAACAGACACCCTGTGAGGCAGGTGGGGCCGAGAGAGCTCTTTTGAGAACTGCTCTTGAGAGAACAGCTCTGAGAGAACTTTCGACTGACCCAAGGTCACACCAGCAGCTGCATGGGGGAGGAGTGGGGAATCAAACCCGGTTCTCCCAGAGTAGAGTCCACGCTCCTAACCACGACACCAACTGGCAACACTTTTCTCTAGGCACCATACATTCATTCCTGTTCCTTACGCAAGATGGGACTGTTGTGATCGTCTCCAGGTGTCCACGTCAACTTCACTTGGCGTTCCTGCTGTTCTGACAATTCCAGGTCAAACACAGGACCGGGCAAGCCTGAAAGGGAGAAAACCTTGTGACCCAAATAGGAAACAAGACCCCTAGAAGATGTTGACTTCAAGTTCTTCCCAGCTCCTTCATGATATTTCTTAAGGCTGACCCAAGAACACTGAAGCCTAACGTGGAAATTCTAAACAGCAGCTCCCCCCCCCATCATGGCAAACAATTAGAATAAAGAAAAAACATATCTCCTAAAGTTGATGCTGGAAATTTAGATGGAAGAATGCTGTTCTCATACATTATACGGTGGCAGTGTCTACAAATTAATTTGTTTTTGGTATAAAGCCATCAAAGTGATGAAAGAAATAGCAGAAGTCCCTTTAGATCCAGAAATTATACCATTAGAATGTATGAAAAAAATCTTTGTATGAAACGGAGGTTAAAGCGCTTAGGGCTCTTTAGCTTGGAGAAACGACGGCTGAGGGGTGACATGATTGAGGTTTACAAGATTATGCATGGGATAGAGCAGGTAGAGAAAGAGGTACTTTTCTCCCTTTCTCACAAGAACTCGTGGGCACTCCATGAAATTGCTGAGCGGTCGGGTTAGAACGGATAAAAGGAAGTCCTTCTTCACCCAAAGAGTGATTAACACATGGAATTCACTGCCACATGAAGTGGTGGCGGCTACAAACATGGACGGCTTCAAGAGGGAATTAGATAAGCATATGGAACAGAGGTCCATTAGTGGCTATTAGCCACAAGGTATAGATAGGGACTCTGGGGCAAGTGATGCTCTGTCATCTTGGTGCTTGGGGGGGGTCAACAGTGGGAGGGCTTCTAATGTCCTGGCCCCACTGCTGGACCTCCTGATGGCACTGGTATTTCTGGCCACTGTGTGACACAGGGTGTTGGACTGGATGGGCCTTTGGCCTGATCCAACATTGGCGTCTCTTATGTTCTTATGAGATATTGAGCTGCGACTTAATTTATGGATGACCGCAGGAATCAAGGCTGCGAAATACTGGAAAAATCAGTAAGGAGATTAAATTTAAAAAATCAATAAAGAGATCATAGAAGAATGGGAGTTCCCATGCTGGAATAGTTTATCCAATTTAAAGTTGACTATAAGATCCAGAGAAGGTAAAAGTAGGTATATAAATGGAGGAGAGACAACGGACGGGGGGGAAAAGGGGGAGGGGGGGGGATTGGGAGAGAAGAAGGGGAAAATTGATCGTTTCCCAGATTAAATAGTTAAAATTAAGTAAATTTCCTTTTAAATATGATGTATTTATATATTTAAGGTAGTTAAGGAAAATTAAGCAAAAAATTTTTTTGGGTTTTGGTATGGAGGACATCATAAAAGGATTACGCTGTAAAAAAAATAAAATATTAATTTTCATAGCAGACAAGGGGGTGTCCAGAGAGCAAAGGAGCTTTGGATGATTCATAACTTACCTTTTTGATCATGAGCTGATTAAATTTAAGGTTCCTTTATGCGTTACCATAATCTCAACACAGGTTCCTTTCTCAGCATATTAAAGGAGTGTAAAACGGCTCATGACTTATTGAACGGGAGGGCCTCCTCAGAAGAAAAGGCTGCCTTTAATATTTCATTTTAAGATCCTTATTATAGCAACACGGCAGAACAAAATCGGCCTTTTAAAAATGGCCTTAACGGGCAGCCCCGCCTAGTCAAACTGGCCCGCTTTGATTAGAATAGTTCCCTGCCGATTAAACAGCTCAGTCTTGAAGTGGTTAATCTGCTGACTAAACCACTGGCAGTGTGCTGGGGGTCCCACAAACAGGGATGCCAAATATATTGTTGGGAAATCCTGTCAGGTAGCCCTGTCATAGGTCTGGAATGTGGAGGGGTGCCCTCCCGCTTTCTGTCTCAGCTCTCCCTGGCTCACCAACTGTTTGCTATCTTATGCTCGAGT